ACTACGATCTTGCCGGCGGGGGCGTCGGAGATGTTGTGGGGCATGCTTGGAGAAGGCATTGCAAAGTAGAGTAGATCCGGCTGCGTGGGCTAGGCCTACTACAGGGCAGCAACCGTGGCCGCAAGAGAAACGAATCAAGGGCAATGACTGGCAATGACTCAATCACGATCGCACTGGCCAGGTTGGCATCACTGACTCATCTGTAACCTATGCTGGGATCTGCTGCTAGTTTCTATGCGTAACTAATAATTTAATATACAGGTATAAAATACAATATAGTAATATAATTATATAATACTGAATTATACTGTTACATATCCTGATATAGTATAAATATAAATTTAGAAAATATAAAAATAGTTTAATAACCGTATATATTTATAATTATTTATATATATATATATTATATATTATAATTTAAACATATATGTTTATTTTAAATAATGATAATGATAATGATAATATATGATAATATATGAGATGGATCGAATATAAATAATATAAAATAACATATAGGACCCAAATTTCAATTTACAACTATACAAATATATTATATATTTAAAGTTTATAGTTATGAAAGATATGGACATGGACTCATATAGCCGTGACAAAACCTATCAATTGCGAGCTTGCTTCTCCGAACAGACACGTACTGTGGCATAGTGGCGCCAAGTCTCGGACAACCGAATCGTTGTTTTGAAGTTGTTTTAGGTTACTTTTGGGAGCAACAAATCAATAGCTGTCGGCCGGGAAGGCAAGCAATCGGGCCAAATATGGCCCAGATCCAGTTCATTCCCAGGCCACAAATCAACAGCAAGTTCCGGAATTTGGTGTTGGTTTGTGGGCCCGGAGAACCACCCCAAATTACCTGGGAACCACAAATCAGCACTAAATTCCGGGCTACAAACCAACAGCAAATCCCGGGATTTGGTGTTGGTTTGTGGGCCCGGAGAACCCCCCAAATTGCCTGGGAACCACAAATCAACACTAAATTTCGGGCCCACAAACCAACACCAAATTCCGGAATTTGGTGTTGGTTTGTGGGCCCGGAGAACCCCCCAAATTGCCTGGGAACCACAAATCAACACTAAATTTCGGGGCCACAAACCAACACCAAATTCCGGAATTTGGTGTTGGTTTGTGGGCCTGGAGAACCACCCCAAATTACCTGGGAGCTACAAATCAACACTAAATTCCGGGCTACAAACCAACAGCAAATCCCGGAATTTGGTGTTGGTTTGTGGGCCCGGAGAACCACTCGGGGGGTCCGGGGGGGGGTCCCGGAGGGGGTTCTCCGGGCCCACAAACCAACACGGAATTCCGGAATTTGGTGTTGTTTTGTGGGCCCGAAATTTAGTGTTGGTTTGTAGTTTCCTAATGAAGAGCTACAAACCAACACTAAATTTCGGGCCCACAAAACAACACCAAATTCCGGAATTCCGTGTTGGTTTGTGGGCCCGAAATTCAGTGTTGGTTTGTAGCTCTTCATTAGGAAACTACAAACCAACACTAAATTTCGGGCCCACAAAACAACACCAAATTCCGGAATTCCGTGTTGGTTTGTGGGCCCGGAGAACCCCCCCCGGGACCCCCCGCCGGACCCCCCGAGTGGTTCTCCGGGCCCACAAACCAACACCAAATTCCGGAATTTGGTGTTGGTTTGTGGGCCCGGAGAACCACCCCAAATTACCTGGGAGCTACAAATCAACACTAAATTCCGGGCTACAAACCAACAGCAAATCCCGGGATTTGGTGTTGGTTTGTGGGCCCGGAGAACCACCCCAAATTACCTGGGAGCTACAAATCAACACTAAATTCCGGGCTACAAACCAACACCAAATCCCGGGATTTGGTGTTGGTTTGTGGGCCCGGAGAACCCCCAAAATTGCCTGGGAACCACAAATCAACACTAAATTTCGGGGCCACAAACCAACACCAAATTCCGGAATTTGGTGTTGGTTTGTGGGCCCGGAGAACCCCCCAAATTGCCTGGGAACCACAAATCAGCACTAAATTTCGGGGCCACAAACCAACACCAAATTCCGGAATTTGGTGTTGGTTTGTGGGCCCGGAGAAACCAGTTTCCTGACGCCGGAAAGGCCAAATAGCAGTATACTAGGGGCTACAAATCATAGTTCAGTTGGTTTTGTTGTTGTTTTGTGGGCCGGAAACACTCCGGGGTGCCGAGGAAAACTACAAAGCTTAAGGTGTAGTACTAATATGGCTGTCCCGGCTGTTGTTTCTAAGTCAAGAGTCAAATAAGTAATAATAAAATTTAATACTAAATTCAGAAGACGGCCCAGGACTATGTTGTTTAACTAGTTGCTTATTTCAAGAACATCATACTGTAGCATATCTCAGGATATTTGTATCGAAAGAGTCAGCAAAATTTAATTGAAGATTCTAGATTCTATGCGCAAAAACCCGAAATTGGGTTCGGTTCCCACTTCCCACCCCTCAGCCCACCCGCTCTTGGAAAAGTAGCCAGCTACTTGAAAAGAATGCTTCCTTTTGATGTAACTAACTGATACAATGCTATGGCTATGGGCTATGTTATGGAGGTATGGACTGGAGTTATGGTATGATTGAGATATAGAAATTATAGACTATAGACTATAGAAATAGATGATATAGATATAGACAAAGAATTATAGACTTATTATTCATTATTAATAAATGATATTTCATTTAAAATAAAAATTATAAGTTACAATTATAAACTATAAACCATAAATACAAAAATAAATGATTATCTTATAGGTTTTATAGACTTGTCTTATAAATCTAATAAACTTATAGACTTAACTCATAGACTTCATAGGATTGCCAAATGGCCATATAGCATATAACTTTCATGTTTATAGATTTCTTTAAAATTCCTAAGCCGCGAAACTAACAGCAGATCCCAGCCCCTAAATCCTAAACCTAAATCGTAGCTTGCCTAGCTGTCGCTGTCGAAGAGAATGACAATGGTTTAGGTTTGGGATTTAGGATTCGTTTGATTTGCATGGGCCTTCGTCTCCTGGATCGGAAAGCCTGAAGGGCCTCAACTCAACGATTCAACCCTGCACCCTCAAACCTAGAGGCTCCGTCGCCTCCAGGCACAGACCTGTCTACTCCTTCGACGAACATCCGAACTTGCCATGCTACCACTTCACACATGGCACACTGTCACGTGAGTCTCCGGACAGCAACTGACATAGTCGCACACGTGAGTTTTCGCACTCCACCCCGCATCTGTGAAAGAAGTTAACTCTGACTGCCGTGCTGCTGCATAAAGAATCAGGAACACAACTGGGGGCTTGTTGCATCTTCTAGCTGATCAGGGCTTGAAAGTACTTCGGTACGTTGTGGAATTTATGAACCATAGGAACCACGAATCAGAGGCCATAGGTCATGAGCCAGAATGAGTCATTAGTCATGAATCATAAGTTAGTCATGTCATACGAACCAGGTCATACCGAATCATATCATATCATATCATTATTGGATCATATGGTTTCACATTAACTTTAACCTGACTCATAACTGACTGATGACCCATGGCCTACATAGTACCTTACATAACTAACCATAGCCCATGGCCTATTAGTAGTATATTAGCCAATTAGCCTATTAACCTATGGCCTGTAGCCTAGAACCTGTAGCTTGTCTCCCTCGAAACCCCTATTACTCCATAGATGCCCTATGCCGCTTACAGACTACATGCTATGATTCTAAAATATAAACCGTCAAGACTATGACGACTATGACTATGACTATAACTGTAACTATAAATAGACTATAACTTATAGTCTATTTATAGTTATAGTTATAATTATAGTCATAGTCGTCATAGTCTTGAAGACTAAAACTATATAACTCTAACGTCTGACATTAGTGACTATAAACGCCTGTAAATTACCTAACAAGTGCAACACCAACGCCCAGTCGGTGCAAGTCTCTGGCAATCCACAGCACAGCCGGCTGCTCCAGAAGAGTTTTAGGGTTTAGGGTTGAGGGTATACGGCTTCGGTGGTTTAGGGCTTAGGGGCTACCCTGGACCTATGGACCATAGACCATAGCCTATGGACCTATGGACCCCATCTATAGTCTATAGCCTATAGGCCTATAGGCCTATCATATCTAGATCATCTAGAGTCTATAGTATGGACCATGGACTAACTACGATTACGATTCAGAGTTTCCGGTTTACGGTTTCGGTGGTTTAGAGGCTACCCTGGACCTATGGACCATAGCCCATAGCCCATTGCCCAGTCCCATAGCCCATGGCGCATAGCCCATAGCCCATAGCCTAGGAGCCTATGGACCCTATACGCCTATAGCCTATAGCTAGCCTATAGCCTATAGCCTAACCATCTATAGCATACTATGGACTATGGACTATGGACCATGGACTAACTACGATTACGTCGATGGACCATACAGACCATACAGACACCCTACAAACTGACCGGTACAAACCTTCCGAAATCTTGAAACCTGACCACATGTCGGGCGCCGCACCGTGGGGAAAGTCCAAAGATCTTGTGGAGGACGGCACGGCAACGGGAACATAAAAGCTCAGCACAGCCTGCCACGTCCTAGATTCTCCTGCCATGGACATTGTCACAACACCTAGTCCAGGACATGCAAAGGTGTCTGCCTCTCGAACAAGGAACCGTGCTTACTAAGTACATGAGCCTCATGAAACCATATGGGGCCATATGGTGTCCGATATCAGCTGGTTCCCGATAGCGCAAAAAGGAGCCACCGGGCACGAATTGTTTGGAGTTTGCAAAAGGCAAGCACCACAATCAGACCGCAGGAATACATGGTTACATAATTCATTGATTCATTGTCATTGTCATTTGTCATGTTACAATTACAGTACAGTCAGTTACATAACTTACACAAATCAAACAAACTAAACCAAACCGATGCCACATTCTGAAGATACTAGGAGGCTACAAAATCAGGCAGTCTGCTCATCTGCTCGCTAAAATGATGGTCGTTCCGAGCTATTTCGTAGCTCGAACCTTCATGCCCATTGAAATTCGCACCTCTCGGCTGAGCTCAGCATGTTCCTGAGCAGTGGTACTACTGGCCAAAGACAACCACTCTATCAGCTTGCTTTCTTCCAGACCATTGCTGATCAAGCAACAGCCCCGGTGAATCTTGCACGTCGCACGGTAGACGGGTTTGGCAGCGAAATTCATGATGCTCACTTTGCCTAGCACAGTGGTCTTGCCCGGCATCTTTTCCCACACCTCGAAAGGGGTGTTCCCATGCTTTGATTCCAGAAGACAGATATCATGGCCATTCGCAGAAGTTCCCAGAAGAGTCTCAGCCAGCCCAGCCGACGGTGAAGTCTTCGTTCCAGGTTGCGACATCGGTCTCGTACTCGTGGCTGCCGTTCTCGTGGCCGGTGCTGAAGCCGTAGCGCCAGCTGCTGTGGAACTTGATGACGGCTCTTGCTCCTGGTCGCTGTCCCGAGAAGAAGCTACATGAGGATGTACATCTACTGGCTCCACCTCGAGATCAGCATGAACAGAATCTCCAAGAATCTGTTCTTCATCAGACTCTGCAAAAGCACATGGCCCTGACGACAGTTTCTGTGCCTCTGTACAAAGTTGCACGGCATCGCAAAGATCTGCGGCTGAAGAAGCCGAGATGGTTTCGACCATGACAGGATCTTGCAGCATCTGCTCTAACAAAGGTGCTTCGCCAACAGCCTCTGGCAACATGATTTGCTCGTCCTCAAGAACCTGCTGCAGCTCACGTTCCAGATCCCCTTGAAGCGATGCATCAAAAGGCATAGCTGCGACAAGACTATTCCGAACCTGCGACGACTTCAGCTTCCCACGTCCTTTCCCTTTCCCTCTGCGGCCGGCACGAGGCACAGGGGCGGACACCACGCCCAGCAAGTCAAAGTCGTCGCCTCCACCCTCAGGCTCATTTTGATCATCTTGGTCATCGTCGTCCACACATGGAGCTTCTCCGGCATCGCCTGCAGTCGCCTCAGCCGAACGTCCTTGCACAACCAGTGGCTGCCAACCCTCCCACGCACCAGAAACTTCCACGGTGGAAAGATTGATGTCACAAAAGGACATGCGAGTCAGAGATATGAAGAAGGCCCCATGATCGTGACACAAACCTAGGAGGGTTTTGGCAACAGTCTGCTCGGTCTCATGGTGGAGAGGGCCTACATCAAGCAAGGAAGAGCACCAGGGAACTTCAGAGTTCAATGCCGGCAATGCCCGTAGACGAAGCTTGGTGCGTCCTCCAAGCACCCGTTCGGCTTTATCCAGGGAAACAAAGACCTGCGACGAAGGATGGATGCCACTTCTTGCCGAGAGTGCCGTCAGCCACTTGAAAGACTCATAGCAACAGGTCTCGGTATCGTCGTCATCTCGGGGAACCTGAGCATGTAGCCTAATCCGCAGCAGGATGTCCAACTTCGATGCTGAGGCAGCTGTGCCATCACCACACTTTGTGATGACAGTGTCGAAAGCTTGCAACAACTTCTGAAAGAGCATGATGTCATTCGGACAAGAAAATGTTCTGCATAGCTCCCCACAGGAGCCCTGGTACTGAACACGTTCTGGGAACTGATCATCACCGGGCGGCACGGTGAACCTCTGAGACTCGACATTGAATTGCCGAAGTGCATCTGCCCAAGTATGCTTCTGCGCCAAATTGGTGCGCCACCACACGTCCAATTGCGATTGCGAAATCGGGCTTTCACGCACGACCTCATCCGCCAAATTCAGCTCCTGCCCCTTGCCTTTGTGGATCACAGCTCTTATCTGCTCAGCCATTGCCGGGATGTTGGCACATGAAGCGGCATCTGAGGCCAGCAACCAGGGGTTGTAGGGAACCACGAGGTTTGGTGACCCGGCTGGCAGTGGCAGAGGAAGCAAGCCTGAGTCCGTTGCCACCTGCCTTTCTGGCTGTTCTGCCGGCTCCGGCAATGCTTGCGGCACGGATCCAGCCGTTTCTTTGGAACGGCGTTCAGCACGGCACTGCTGTGCCCGAGCATGCGATTGCCGAGACATCTCTTCATAGTACTCCTTTCGCTCCGCCGAAAGTGCCTCCCAAGCCTGCTTCGCCTCCGCCCTAAACTCCTTGCTGCACGGGTTGACTGGTGCACATGGCGATGCCAGCTTCAATGTGGCATGGAACTCAGTTCGAAACAGCATCTCGGCCGATTGCCCTCGGACTTGCTTTGCATGCAAACGAACAGCGCCACCGCCAACTGAGTTAGCTGGCACCACAGCATCCGTGGCATCACTCTGATGCAACGATTCCACGTAGGCTTTTGCTTCTTGCACGCAAACACAGGCCTCCCGGTTCAAATGTTTCGCCACTATCGTCGGATAAGGTCGGTCAGCCCAATGTCTGCTGAGAGCATGCTTCGTTTCCACATCCGCGATGGTGAGCTGCATAAGCTTGGCATAGCCTCTCAAGACACTGCACCATTTCGAATCCGTGGCAAGCTCATCGCCACTGACCTTCAACTTCTTGAGCTCACGTGCAAGACCCGGATTCAAGCAACAGGCGTGGGCACCATCCCACTTTTTTTGCACATCCTTCACAACTGACCCGTCCGCCTTAGGATCGATCAGGCACAGCAAGGACCAGGGAAATTGGTCAAAGTACTGAATGTGGCGTCGAAAGATCCACCCCGACAGCGACATCAAAGCTCGCCGCAACGAGGCGACTTCTTCTGACCGACCAGCACACCAGTCGGCATACGAAGTGAAGCCTGATGTCTGCCAGACCATGCAAAGCCTAGCCCGGCCATCAGCATCCATCAATTGATGGCAAATGTTCTGGAGAACTGCAAAAGCAGCACTGCTACGAACATCCAACAGCTCACACACCGGGAAACGTGGCCTGGCCTTCTTGTTCGTCTGCAAGTTATGCAACCAATGGTATACAAGACGCCGAAGGTGCTCGGAAACAAGCAGCCAGCATCTGCAACACCACTGCGACAAGCCGCATGATAAGAATGTCTTCGTTGCATGATATCTCTTGCCCTGAACAGCATGGAAATACAGGCCCTCGACTAACCTCGGGTCCTCCTCTTGATGGCTCGTGTCTGTTGTGTTCTTGAACATGATGGGCTGAAAAGCTAGCTCAAAGATGCTGGGCAAGAAGTTATTGACGAGTGTACCCAGCGCAACGAAGTCACTGATCGGGAAGATCTTTGTCCATTTGTTGGGGGCAGGTATCGCAGGAAGTGTCGTGAGAAGCAAAGCTATGAAAGTGGATGCCATCTTCTCAACTGCATCCGCACGTGTCCCCTGATTGGATTTATGTTTGGGTTTGCCACTGAAACTACCAGTCCACACCTCCTCAAAAGCTGCAAGCTTCTTCTCAAATTGTGTGCTGCGACGGGAACTGCATGCCCCGTCCTCCTGGATCACGGCCTCCCCTTCGGATTCTCGTCCATGATGCCACGTACGAAGAAAGTCAATCGTCTCTCTCATGAGCGGGTCCTGGCTGTCTGAAGGCTGGTCATCACCTGCAGTCCATTCCAGATTGTCCTCGGATTCAATTCCCGATGACTACTTGTTCTGCCCTAGATATTTTCAATCGTTCGAGGCTAGCAACAGCAATTTACTATAGGCTAGAGGCTACGGGGGCTCTGGGTCCTTAGTTTAGCCAACAGCTCAGGTTTTGAGTGTTGCCCGGATACCAGAATGTAGGGCCTGTGCTTCAGTATATTTCGGCGCTAGGTTTCGGGTTCTATCACTATTATTATTATTAATATTATGGATCATAGTCTCTATAGGCCTAGCCTAGCCTAGCCTATAGTCTATAGTCAATAAGTCAACAAGCCCAGCATTTTATATTTGTTGTCAAGCCTACGGACTATGAAACCCAATAAATTTTTGTACTGAAACTTAATTAATCAGAAAGTCAGAAAGGTATAAGTTTTAAGTTTTAACGGCTCACGTAAGGTTTAGGCCTCAGGAGACTTATTAGGGGGTTCACGTTTTATCGGAATCATTGGGTCAGTTGTTGTTGGCTGTTGGTATTTGCGGTCTGATAAAATCCAAGTCAAGCCTGATCCAATAATGCCGGAATTTCATACAGGCCTCACTCATACGGTACGGTACGGTATGTCACACACACATTGCGGCACGGAGGACTTTATTAGTTACATGACACATATTACATGATTACATGATTCCATGATGTTACATCATACATCATACATCATATCAATCATATCATATCATATCAACTCATATCATATCATATCTCCTTCTATCCCCTCGCCCCTCGCCCCAAAACAACCCAAAACAAAACCAAGAGAAGCTGGGCATCTTCCAGCCACTTCTTCAGAGCCAGTTGGAGTCTCAGCAAATACCCCAAGTTCCTGACGAACACTGCAAGTCCGTATAGCCTGCTCATCAGATTTCCTCCGATCAATGCCATCATCGACACTGATATCAGATGTGTGGCGTGACTTTGACATCTCACTGTATCTATGAACTCGCCACCAGGCTTGGAAGGATCGAACCGCGGCTGAGACAACAGATGATGATGTAACCGCACATTTGAATAGGCTCCATCTATCTCATGTAGATTACAGCGTATCTGAGCAGTGGTCCCGATCAACTTCAATATTTGATTCAGTGCGTAGAAACTCGGGTGATAACGAAGACCGTAGTAGACCTGGTCGGCTGAGCTGGACATAAGGGGAATCGTGGGCATCGCAACCCGCATTTGCCACTGGCCGCCTGACGGCCAACTTACCAGCAGCCTGGTTCTCACCACAAGCACTGACCATGCTGATCTAACACTCTGAGTGCTGCCGCCAGGATTAAGACTTGTTGCAACAGTTGTTTCGTCCCACTTCACATGATAATGAACAACTGCGGGAGGAAACTGTCTGCAGTAGTTGTAAAGACGGGCGAGCAGCTTGGATTGCACATTCATGTAGATACCAGCACACGTCTTCTGGAGCCTGGGAACAGTCGATGCATCCACGTCAAGCGACGCAGCTATTGCTACGTTGGCAGTGCTCATCCCATATGCTGCCTGCAAGAACTTCATGAAATGAATTTTCCTGACATATCGATTGCCTTTCGCCGAAGCCTTGTGCAACACTACTTCCACACCGCCTTTCCGTCGATGCTTAGCGACCAAGTTGAATGTCGCCCCATCCTTTTTCAAAGACGAGTGTTGCAATGCTTTCACCAAAGCCTCGGCATTCTCATGATTGTGTTTCGCCCGCTTTTCTGCACGCATATGCGAACAGATCAGCTGACGTTCGATCCTGTCTCCATGTCGTCCTCGGCCTACCTTACCCTTCAAAGAGTAAGTAGACCGGGTAGACGAGCTGTTCTGGCTGTCAATGGAAGCCAGGCGCTGCACAGGCTGCACAGGCGCAGCATCATGCACAGGTTCTGCTCTCCGCAACTGCTGCATCCCGGACTCCTCTTCCCGCCGGACAAATTCAACTTCCTCATCAGAAAAAGCCGTCGCTAAATCAAAAGTCGCATCAGAATTTCCAGCAGATAAATGATGATCTATCGAAGTGTGCTCACCAACATCATCTGCAGCATGTGGAAACTCATCACAAACCGCAGCCAATATATCAAAGGATCCCGTCTCAGCTATACCCATAGCATGGGACGGCGAGCCATCGAATGCCTGACTACGCTCCATGCTGCGACCTTTGTAGCCGACAGAGGCTGTCACCGGAGACTTCGGTCAAACAAGACATGGTCCTGCAATATCGAGACAGTCGAATGTTACAAGAAACTTGCTCCTACCCGCAGACAAGGGAAGTTTGCGAACAGCATTTGGCGAGCATATCGAAGGATGACATGACTTCTATGGGCTACCAAGTCGCGGAGTAATGCTCAAAAATCGCTGGCAACAACACGGTTGCAAATTCGCTGTTGATTTATGGTGTCACTGTTGATTTGTGGCTTTTACAGCCACGAATTCGCTGTTGATTTGTGGCTTTCATAGCCACAAATTCGCTGTTGGTTTGTGGCTTTCATAGCCACAAATTCGCTGTTGGTTTGTGGCTTTCATAGCCACAAATTCGCTGTTGGTTTGTGGCTTTCATAGCCACAAATTCGCTGTTGGTTTGTGGCTTTCAGCCACAAATTCGCTGTTGGTTTGTGGCCTTCAACCACAAATTCGCTGTTGGTTTGTGGCTTTCATAGCCACAAATCGCTGTTGATTTGTGGCTTTTATAGCCACAGCTTAGCTGTTGATTTGTAGCGCCGCCACCTCATTCTTGCTACCATTCTGAATGAACTGAATCAGCCTAAAGAACCCATGCTATTTGCTGTTAGAAGCAACCCCTAATTTTCAAGTTAACACGTCTCTTAGCATCTTCCGTGCTGAAGCAAAAATGTGTGTCGGAATGGGGTTCTGTGCACAGTTTCAAGTTAGCACGTCTCTTAGCATCTTCCGTGCTGAAGCAAAAATGTGTGTCGGAATGGGGTTCTGTGCACATTGTCAAGTTTGCACGTCTCTTAGCATCTTCCGTGCTTAAGCAAAAAGTGTGTTCGGAATGGGGTTCTGTGCACATTTCAAGTAGCAAGTCTTTAGATCTCGTGCGAAGCAAAAATGGGTCGGAATGGGTTCTGTGCACATTTTGACATTGGCAGGCTTTAGCATCGTCCGTGCTGAAGCAAAAGTGTGGTCGGAATGGGGTGGTTCGTCACAGTTTCAAGTAGCACGCTCTTGCATCTTCCGGGATGAAGCAAACATGTGTGTCGGAAATGGGGTTTGTTGCCACCTTTTTCAAGTTAGCACGTCTCTTAGCATCTTCCGTGCTGAAGCAAAAATGTGTGTCGGAATGGGTTCTGTGCACATTTTCAAGTTAGCACGTCTCTTAGCATCTTCCGTGCTGAAGCCAAAATGTGTGTCGGAATGGGGTTCTGTGCACATTTTCAAGTTAGCACGTCTCTTAGCATCTTCCGTGCTGAAGCCAAAAATGTGTGTCGGAATGAGTTCTGTGCACATTTTCAAGTTAGCACGTCTCTTAGCATCTTCCGTGCTGAAGCAAAAATGTGTGTCGGAATGGGGTTCTGTGCACATTTTCAAGTTAGCACGTCTCTTAGCATCTTCCGTGCTGAAGCAAAAAGTTGTGTCGGAATGGGGTTATTGCAATTTTCAAAAGTTAGACGTCTCTTTAGCATCTTTCCGTGCTTAAGCAAAAAATGTGTGTCGGAATGGGTTATGTGCACATTTTCAAGTTAGCACGTTCTCTTAGCATCTCCGTTGCGTAAGCAAAAATGTGTGTAGGGAATGGGGTCTGTGGAACATTTTCAGTTAGCCAGTCTCTTAGCATCTTCCGTGCTGAAGCAAAAATGTGTGTCGGATGGGGGTTCTGTGCACATTTTCAAGTTAGCACGTCTCTTAGCATCTTCCGTGCTGAAGCAAAAATGTGTGTCGGAATGGGGTTCTGTGCACATTTTCAAGTTAGCACGTCTCTTAGCATCTTCCGTGCTGAAGCAAAAATGTGTGTCGGAATGGGGTTTGTGAACATTTTCAAGTTAGCACGTCTCTTAGCATCTTCCGTGCTTAAGCAAAAATGGGGGTCGGAATGGGGTTCTGTGCACATTTTCAAGTTAGCACGTCTCTTAGCATCTTCCGTGCTTAAGCAAAAATGTGTGTCGGAATGGGAGTTATGTGCACATTTTCAGGTTAGCACGTCTCTTAGCATCATCCGTGCTGAAGCAAAAATGTGTGTCGGAATGGGGTTCTGTGCACATTTTCAAGTTAGCACGTCTCTTAGCATCTTTCCTGCTTAAGCAAAAATGTGTGTCGGAATGGGGTTCTGTGCACATTTTCAAGTTAGCACGTCTCTTAGCATCTTCCGTGCTGAAGCAAAAATGTGTGTCGGAATGGGGTTCTGTGCACATTTTCACGTTAGAACGTCTCGTAGAATTTCCGTGCTTAAGCAAAAATGTGTGTCGGAATTAGGGTTTAGGGTTTCGGCGCTCACACTCGGACAAACCAGGCGAGGCATATGAGTTCGAGTCTGCAAAGTGAAACGACACTAAGAGGCTTCGTCACTACATTTCAGCAACAAAGACTATCAACACATAAAGTGACTGTGCCTGTCTGCGAAACCTCTCCTTGGAATCCAAGTTGAAGCAGCAAGGACATTCGGACTCCAAGGTAGTAGACTCGGCAGATCGCTCAGGGTCAGGGGTATAGGGATCAGACCCTACAATGTTTCGGGAATGATATTCAATACAAGGAAGAGCCGGGTTGACTCAGGCACTGCGATCTGTTGTGGGGATCAAGCACTTGACGATCCCTAAAGTCAGCTTATTACCGACGTTACAAGCATCTAATTCTGACACCATCGATGAAGGAGGTGAAACTTTTGGAGTATGTGGAGTAACCTACATATGGTGCGACGATTGGACTCAACCAGAGAAGCTTCACCACGTAGCGATAGGACAATGTAATTACATTGCAGTACGATGATCCAATGCTTGAGATCCAATGCTTGACTTTGAAACAAATTCTGACATGCACCCCTCAGTGTATGAATTAGCTCACTAGATGGTGTCTGGACATGATTGAATGCAACGCGAACATCGCACTCAATCATATCCAGTCACCTCGTGGGAGACGACCCATCTCGTTCACAGATCTGTCAGAGCAGCCAAAACCGGCGCTAATGGCAAGAGCAGCAGAGTGGGGGACGCAGGTTGGTATGAATTCCGGTATGAATTCATAACGTATCTTCAAAAGCTCTTCATGCAATCTCAGCAGGCATCTTCAAAAGCTCTTCATGCAATCTCAGCAGGCATATAGTATAGGGCAAATGACCGTCCTCCTAGGGTTTAGGGTTTAGGGTTTAGCGTTTAGGGTTTAGGGTTTAGGGTTTAGGGTTTTCGCTGCGAGTGCGCTGTCGACCCCTCCATGAAGTGGTTGGGGTCGGCGCATGAGCTGCAATGCCCCCCCTCCCACCCTAATTTCAAACCTTGAACGGGTTTAGGGTTGTCTACCCCCCCAACCCCCCCTAGCAAGGGGGGCTTATATGGTTCGGCAACCAGACCAAGCCAACTTTTCCACAACGCCAAAGTGACAATCTCCAGGCGCAAAGTGACAATCTCGAGGCCCTAAAGTGACAATCTCCAGGCCCCAGAGTGACAATCTCCAGGCCCCAAAGTGACCCAAAGGGCCTTCTGGGTGGCTTCGGTGGGCTTTTGGCCTCTGGGGCCTCTGCAGGGTTTACGGGGGAGGACCTTCTGCAGGCTTTGTGGAGGCTGCGCGGCCTTCTGGAAACCTTCTGGACACCTTTTTGCCCACCTTCAAAACTACTTAAAACCTATTGAAACAGCTACAAAAACCATTCAAAACTTTTAAAAACCATTCTGAGCCTTTAAGAACCTCGCAAAACCTGCAAAAACTTCAACCAGACCAGGCCAACTTTTCCACAACACCAAAGTGAAAACTCCAGGCGCAAAGTGACAATCTCCAGGCCCCCAAGTGACAATCTCCAGGCCCCAGAGTGACAATCTCCAGGCCCCAAAGTGACCCAAAGGGCCTTCTGGGTGGCTTCGGTGGGCTTGTGGCCGCTGGGGCCTCTGCAGGGTTTACGGGGGAGGACCTTCTGCAGGCTTTGTGGGGGCCTGCGCTAGGCTCTGGGTCCTTAATTTTAATTAGGTCCGGTTAATTTTAAGCTCCGGGCCTTTAAGTTTAGGCTCCGGGTCCTTAATTTTAGATCCGGTCCTTATTTTAAGCTCCGGTGCCTTAATTTTAACCTGGCCCTTAATTTCGGGCCCTTAATTTTAGGCTCCGGGTCCTTGATTTTAGGTCTGGCCTTAATTTTAAGCTCCGGGTTCTTAATTTTTGGCTCCGGGTCCTTAATTTGAGGTCCTGGCCTTTAATTTTAAGCTCCGGGCCCTTAATTTTATGCTCCGGGTCCTTAATTTTAGGTCCGGTCCTTAATTTTAAGCTCCGGGTCCTTAATTTTCGGTTCCGGGTCCCTAATTTTAGGTCCGGTCCTTAATTTTAAGCTCCGAGTCCTTAATTTTCGATTCCGGGTCCTTAATTTTAGGTCATTTTAGGCTCCGGGGTCCTTAATTTTAGGCGGTCCTTAATTTTAAGCTCCCGGTCCTTAATTTTCGGCTCCGGGTCCTTAATTTTAGGTCCGGTCCTTAATTTTAAGCTCCATGTCCTTAAGTTTCGGCTCCGGGTCGTCAATTTTAGGTTTTGGTTCTTATTTTAAGCTCCGGGCCTTTAATTTTAGGCTCCGGGTCCTTAATTTTAGGTCCGGTCCTTAATGGTCCTTAATTTTAAGCTCCGGGTCCTTAATTTTCGGTTCCGGGTCTTTAATTTAAGGCTCTTTAAAGGCAGCAAGGAGGAATCCAAGGGTGCCCGGCCATTTGCACTAAGGTTTACCGGGGCCCAGAAAGGAGGAATCCAAGGGCCCCCGGCCGGTTTGCACTGAGGTTTAGGGTTATTATTATATAGGCTGACAGGAGCGGCCTATTCACTGGAGCCGCGTGGACCTGAGGTCCAGGACCTACGGCTTGCTTTTCAGCCATCGCCTACGGTCCGGCAGGCGCCTTCCGGTCCGCCTGCTGCGGCCGACCCCATTCGCTGCGGTGGGGGGTCGGCCTTCAGTTTAGGGTTTAGGGGTTTAGGGTTTAGGGTTTAGGGTTTAGGGTTTAGGGTTTAGG